TGGTTCCGCAGGACGGCTGTTTTGACAGCAGCTTTTAGCGATTGCCTGTGAAGGCCACTGTTGACGTGGAAGCACAGTAAGGGACACCAATGGATTTTGCCGCACTGCCCTCGGCCGCCTACAACATAGCTCGGCAGCCTATACCGCCTGTTGCGCATGGTGAAGCATGGTCAAATAACTGTACAGAAAAAAAGGGCTGTACGTGTATTAAGGACAGCACAGCGGTGGTTTGAGCGAAATAAAAAAACTGGAAACAGCACAACGTGCACTTGGCCACCTTCGTCTCACCCGAGTGCCGATACGCATGCACCATCGCAGCGAGAACTACCATTCAGCAGTGATGACATGGAGGTGACGGGAGAGCAGGTTATACACATTGGCGTTGTGCATCATGGCCAAGAACCCAACCGGAGACATTGCACCAGCGCTCACTCGCACGCGCGTCAACAACACGACAGAAATCCTCCCCATATAGCCGCATAGACCACGGGACGCGTGCTATCGTTAACCCTTACTGTGACAGGCAAGGCAGACCACAGAGTGCCGTGGCCATGCCCAATTGATTTTCACGCAGCGCACAAAGGTAGCTATTTAATGCCGAGTAAACCAGGAGTAGGCTCAGGACGGGTTTAGATATTTGTCACGGATGGTGGCCGTGAGCGGGAATCCAATAGGCTCATGTTTGATTCAGATAGCGCTTGCAACCGATATCGACATGAAATCCAAAATGGGATTCGTCAACAATGTAGCGCCCTAAAAACCCCCACGACCTACGTGGTCTCCCCAAATCGTGGGAGTTGTTGACGATGATACTTCACCACAATGGTCAGTGTGGGGTTGTGAAAGAGGAGTCCAGGACTGGATCAAATATCACCCATCACTGATGTTAGCCGTCACAAGGAACCCAACTCGTTTATAGAACGGTGCTGCATGAATTGCTGCGCCATAGCTCCAACACACACAAATAGAAACACCAAGATCCACCCCGTGCAGCCTTTTGGGGCAAGCGCTGTTAGCGAGCACCTATGAAGGCCGGCACGACACGCGAGGGGGTGGGTGGCGAGCACCACCCCCCGCCGCCTTTGTCTCCCTAGTGGCGATGTTTACACACCGCAGCAGGCAATCACTTGGGACCGAGTCGACCTAGGAGATGCCCAGGACAGGTTCAGACAATCGTCGCTGGTGTTGGCCGTGAGCGAGAATCGAATTAAGGTGGCCAGGTTTGTAACGCAGCTCCCAAACCGCTGTACTAGGAATTACGTCGCACCTCCATGAATTCACATGAAGCCTCTCAACGCATGCTTCCGCCTTAAACAACAGATAAAAATGTATTTCCTTCCCTGCCTTCTCTGCCCCCTTCTCCCCCGTCCATCGAGACTGGATTCCCCCCACACCGCTCCCTCCCCTCCACCACCACCACACAGCCCCGCACATCTCTCGTTCACACCTTTCCGGCTTTGTGTGTCTGGCTTGCACACAATTAGCGTACGCAAGCTACTCATGACAGATTATGTACCAACCTCACACGCAACGCGTATTGCCACAAAGATCGTAATAATAATGATAGGATGTTACTCATTATCTGTCATCTTCTTATCTGCAAATCCCATTGGCCACAGGGGCCCGATTATTCACATTTCTGATGGTTATTTGGCAGATCTCTCTGGATTTGCAGATAGTGGCTTATTCCAAATAAATTCCGAGTACACCGAAACATGAGAAAATCGGGAAGCTCGTGGAAAACCCAAACGTCTAAATAGGCCACAACTCTACCGATGACACCAATACAAATCAAAACCGGCCCAGGTTTTATCGACAAAGTTGACGGGGCCAACACTTTTATTTCCGACCATTATCTTCCGAGTTGGTTGTGAACAACACATGGCTCGCAGCAGAGGCGGGTGGATGTTGAGCCCAGAGGAGGACCAGCTGCGAGGAAAGTGAATGAGCCGAACGCTGCTGCTGCTGCTGCTTCGTCCTCACAGCGTGTTTCCCCGGCAACAAGCAATGGATGGGACACAATTCCCGAAGGAAATCGGAATCGGTCACCGCTCTCCTCATGGTAACATCACCACCATATGCCGGATTCTAAACAGGTCTGCCCCATCAAATGCCCCTTGTGTACATGGAGATATATCGGTTCAAAATAACAAACAAAAATGTGAAGAATTCTTCTTGGGATGCTTGGCCAATTCCAGTCATACAATACGGGGCAATTTCACATCTGCGACAGAAACATCAGCTCAAAAAAAAAACGAGCACTGGCCAGAGGTCGGTACTTACTCTTTTCCTGTGGCAGACTAGTCTAGCCTTGAAGCCTTAACCACTCACTGGTGACACTCTTCTGCACCGAACAGCGAAGCCTCACCAGATAGTAGATATTTTACCAACCCCAAAGGAATGATGATGATAGGGCCGAGGTGACCCTGGCCAGTTCAGTTCATCTATTTGGTATAGCCCTGTGAGCCATTCGGCTCTTGAATCGGGTGCAACCACAACAAACAAAAAACGTGAACAAGAAAAATCTTAAAGTGACCACGCACAACAGAAAAATCCAGGGAAAAAAACAGCAAAGTCTTCCAGAAAAAGCACCGCATATCAACGCTGTGTGCAAAAATCCCAGTGGGATGCAAGTCAAACAATAACAACCATAGGACAATTTAGATTACAGTTATCAGTCTAACTCTGTGTGCTACAAACAAATACAGCTAAACCAGAACCTTTTTCGAAATCACCAAAATTAAGCTATAAAAACAATGTAACAGCGATCGTAGGAACCGCGAATTCCAATTTAACAATAAACGATATACGTAACACGTGCATGAACTCAAACTCACAAATGGAAACCAGCACCACTGCCCTACCGAATGAGCCACACAGAACCCAGCCGTAGCCTGAACACTATCACGGTATGACAGATCATCCTAAAATCACATTAAGCCATCATTATACACTAACGTATGTCAGCGTGGTGGAGGTGATGGGGAGCTTCTAATCCAAGCCACTCGAAGACGGCCCTTGGTGGGTCGGTCACAGATGAGGCGCCGGCTATCACCACGACACTCCAGTTCCTCCCTTTTACTATAAACACACTGTACCGTAGCTACTAAACAGGAACTTGTTCAATAACATCTGAAGCCCATAAAACAAATTAAGACTCACCGACGAATCGTACATGTACAGCCGTTTTGCTAATCCACTGCTGGATGAAGGCCTCCCCCTTATGCCGGTTGCGGGTCTTGGGGGTTATTTGACCATATTTTACCATGATACGTACTGTATATAAAATGTACCCGTGAACATTCAAAGCAATCTATTCCCGTTTTGTTGACCTGATTTTTGCAAATTGAGGTCCTATTGCATCCAACCAACCCGTCTCCCCACTCAAAACAGCACTAATTTCCACCTACAAACCCTGAAGCAGCAGTGGAAGTTCAACATTCCTCCGACGGAAAGCAAACCTCTTCCCAGGTCATTAAACTGCTTAAAACAGGAAATACACTGTATGGATGTAATCTGTCTTAAGTGACCTCTTATCACCAAACCTTATGAGATTCAAGCGAATGGTGAGGAACCTCAAGAGAGCTCGTCAGGATTAACGTCTGTCCATTGCTCTTGAATCTTTGTTAGTTGTATTTATTTGGTTTAAAAAAAACACACACAAACAGGTCTGCCTCGTCCCACACAAAACAGCAACACCCATGCCTATGTAGGCTTGACCTACATTTTAAATTAAGCAAGAGCTCTTACCGAGGCTTGAAATGGCAGTCAGCGTACTATTACGGTACATACAGTACTCTTATTTTATTTGAGATTCCACGTTGCCAACATAACGAACTAGGGAACGTTCCGCGAGTTTAACGTCGCTATGTCGTTGATATATAAACACCAGCGATTTTTTTTTAAAGAGTCTCAAGACTCCTTGTAATGAGCGTGCTGCTTACACTGGCAATGCCTGGCCAATTTATTGTGTAAGTCGCGGTTTGCAATCCTCAAAGCACACCGCAAATGTCAATGAGCTGGGGTTTTTTTTTTAAACATTAATCAGCTTTCATTTAACAGATCTTTCACCTACGGAGTTGGGGAGTGAGTTTAACAGTCGCAGTGAGAGTTTTATCAGCCCAGACTTCAAATTGTTCAATTTAAATAGCCTCGAAGTTTCGGTCACGAAGCCGCGTTCACTGCTTCAACTGCGTCGCTCTGAGCTAAAGTTAGAGATAACTTGAAGTAAAATGTAGCGTTTAACGTGAATGTAGCCGTGCGAAGAGAGCGATGTTCGTTACTCACGCCAATGCAGAAGGAGCCGCGTTAAACACGCACGGGGGGGGGCGGGCGCGGGGGATGGGCGAACCACAACCCACCCCGCGGACCAGGCTCCCGCCGGGGGCCTAGCCCAGGTCTCCGGCAGGAAAACCAAGTAAAGCGTATAGGTCCGCGGCGGTCACGCGCGTCAAATATTGCTTTTCTTTTCTGCCCTTTTACTAATGCATGTTAACTTCACGCAGACGGTCTCACAGCACCCCCATCTAATCGTTAGCAACGGAGGGTAACCGGTCCAAGGACTGGGTGGCGGGGGATGGGCGAGGCGCGCCCGTGTACCGTGGACGATATTTCCGCCGGGGGCCTAGCCTAGGCTTCCCCGATGACAACTAGGCAACGACGAAAAGACCCGCGCGGGTCGACGTTCCGGACGCGAGACTTAGAAACATTTACCCTACAACTTTAAAACGTTAATTCGTAACATTTAACTATCGCTCTGCGCAGGAAAGTGCGTTGCTGTGTTGCAAAGCGATCGTCGCCTAAATGAGGAAAGATGCAGTAAATTGTGAAGGTAACGCGTGCTCCGAGCACACTCTCTCTCTCTCTGCTTAATTCTTTAATTAACGGTCCCGCTAATGCAGCGCAGACCGAGTTACACATTGCGGCGTGGATGGGGGCCCTTATTTTCGATATTAACCGCATGAAAGTTAGTGGCACGTGCTGTTGCAAACGTTTCCCACCTTTCTTCGGGGAGTGACTTGCCACACAAGCTTAATTGGGGACGTCTGGGTGTCATTGTGCCACCACCACAACCACCACCACCCACCCCCACAAATCGGGAATATCCCCTCGGCTCTGGCTTCTCGATTTCCCCTATTCACCCTCGGGTATCTCCTATTAACATTGGGTTTCTCCCAATCACATTGGGTTTCTTCGCGCTTTTTTTTGCCACGCTCTCCCGTTACTAGTACACACGGCGACGACAGTACATAGTAACAACAGTACGCAGACACACTCACAACTGCACGACCATACCCTTAAACGGAGATTAGTTTTTAAGCGCGAGACCTACCACCCCCCCCTGGGAAATTGTCAATAAGAGTGATATTTTTTGGTCCACCAGTAACGATTGCACGTTGCATTACAACTCACCGCTTAAGCGGTTTAGACTTTTATATTTCACCTGACCCTGACGCATTTTTTAAACGTATGAAAGATTTGCAGCTGGAACTGACCCCTAACCCATTTAGCTCAGCAGCTAAATGCAAGTTCTGTACAGTAACCGACTAACAGCATGGACAATGAAAGCCATCTAGCAACAAAAAAGGGTATCCAACCTATTAAATCGTGGGTCTGGGGTCAGTGGAGGGGTTCACTCACTACACGTGTGCTGTGTTACAATAACCACCATGTACACCATACACTCACCACACGTGTGCTGTGATACAATAACCACCATGAACCATGTACACCATAGACTCACCACACGTGTGCTGTGTTACAATAACCACCATGAACCATGTACACTCACCACACGTGTGCTGTGTTACAATAACCACCATGTACACCATAGACTCACCACACGTGTGCTGTGTTACAATAACCACCATGAACCATGTACACCATACACTCACCACACGTGTGCTGTTACAATAACCACCATGAACACCATACACTCACCACACGTGTGCTGTGCTACAATAACCACCATGTACACCATACACTCACCACACGTGTGCTGTGTTACAATAACCACCATGAACCCTGTACACCATAGACTCGCCACACGTGTGCTGTGTTACAATAACCACCATGAACCATGTACACCATACACTCACCACACGTGTTCTGTGTTACAATAACCACCATGAACCATGCACACCATACACTCACCATACGTGTGCTGTGTTACAATAACCACCATGAACCATGTACACCATACACTCACCACACGTGTGCTGTGTTACAATAACCACCATGAACCATGTACACCATACACTCACCACACGTGTGCTGTTACAATAACCACCATGAACCATGTACACCATACACTCACCACACGTGTGCTGTGTTACAATAACCACCATGAACACCATACACTCACCACACGTGTGCTGTGTTACAATAACCACCATGAACACCATACACTCACCACACGTGTGCTGTGTTACAATAACCACCATGTACACCATACACTCACCACACGTGTGCTGTGTTACAATAACCACCATGAACCATGTACACCATACACTCACCACACGTGTGCTGTGTTACAATAACCACCATGAACCATGTACACCATACACTCACCACACGTGTGCTGTGTTACAATAACCACCATGAACCATGTACACCATACACTCACCACACGTGCGCTGTTACAATAACCACCATGAACCATGAACACCATACACTCACCACACGTGTGCTGTGTTACAATAACACCTTGAACACCATAGACTCACCACACGTGTGCTGTTACAATAACCACCATGAACCATGAACACCATAGACTCACCACACGTGTGCTGTGTTACAATAACCACCATGAACACCATACACTCACTACACGTGTGTTGTTACAATAACCACCATGAACCATGTACACCATAGACTCACCACACGTGTGCTGTGTTACAACAACCACCATGAACCATGCACACCATACACTCACCACACGTGTGCTGTGTTACAATAACCACCATGTACACCATAGACTCACCACACGTGTGCTGTGTTACAATAACCACCATGAACCATGTACACCATACACTCACCACACGTGTGCTGTGTTACAATAACCACCATGTACGCCATACACTCACCACACGTGTGCTGTGTTACAATAACCACCATGAACCATGTACACCATACACTCACCACACGTGTGCTGTGTTACAATAACCACCATGAACACCATACACTCACCACACGTGTGCTGTGTTACAATAACCACCATGCACACCATAGACTCACCACACGTGTGGTGTGTTACAATAACCACCATGAACCATGTACACCATAGACTCACCACACGTGTGCTGTGTTACAATAACCATGTTATTCGCAACAATGCGGCTGATAAGACACTCATGAGAATTGCGTTACGTGGCTATTACTGAGGGTTGCCGTGTGCCTCCAAGTACAACAGCAAGGACAGCGAGAGCACATCGCCAACCAAAGCACAATTAATTCCCTTTAATGAGGGATTGTTTTCGTCCCTATGCCACGTTACACACAACGAGCACACCACACGTGTACACTAACACGTGTGAAATAGTGAACCGGTACCATCACAAACCACGTGTACTCATGTATATGTGTGTGTGTACTGTAGTGTATATACTGTCTATTTGTATATGCGTATTAGTGCCTATGTACTGTATGTATATTACAGTAATGTACGTGTGAATGTACTGTATCTCTATGTGTGTGTGTGTGTGCTACGCGTGTCTCTATAGTGTTGTTAGTGTACTAATGTACAGTGTAGTGTGTACGTGTATACGTGTACAGTACTGTATATCTATGTGTGCAGTTCTGTTAAGAGCTACATTGATATTGTCTTACCTTACACCACGTACTTGCTAGCTGCTTGTCCCTGGCTGCTGCTAGGTGGACAAGATGATGTGTTGTTTGCTCGCTGGCTGGCTTGCTTGGGTTTTAAGGGGGCAATTGTATTCCTTGAAGCCAAAATGAAGAGACCATCACACGCCTTGTATTCTTTCAATGTCTGTTAAATAGTGTCAGCGAGGTGATCACAGACTGGATCTACCACCATAAGGGCTGCTACATAGCCCATTTCTTTCTATGAACACACACACACACACGTGCATATACATACACACAGACACACACGCAGCTCAGCTGCCCTCCCTCTCACTCCCTCGGCCACTCTTCATGGAGCGCGCGTGCGTGCGTGTGTGTGCACGTGTGTGTGACTGTGTGTGTGTATACACACTTATCTACACACACATGGACACACACACACTGTCACGCACACATATATACACACTGTCACACACATATATACACACACACACTGTCACACAATCATACACACCTATAGACACATACACACCTATAGACACACACCTAGACGCACACACACCTATAGACACATACATACACACCTATAGGCATACACCCCAATAGACACTCACACACACCTATACACACACAGTCACACACACACATATATACACACCTATACAGATACATACCTATACACATACACACCTATAGACACACATACACACCTATACACAATCATACACCCCTATACACACCTATACAGATACATACCTATACACATACACACCTAGACACTCTCACACACACCAATAGACACACATACACACTGTCACACAACAACAACCGCCATTCGCCACTAAGTGGCGGTGACGTCACCACGACGCTTGTGCCAGGCTATGTGCACCCTGAGGCCACGTGACGTGTCGAACGCCCGCTGGCAGGTCACGGGGCAGACCCGGTGCCACGGGTCGACTGACTGAGATGACTGGCTGATGCACCACCTGTGCCCCCTACTGTGCCAACCTGCTGTGCTTTAGCCACCCGGCGCTCCGCTCCTTGTGAGCGTCGCTCCTCTGCCCTCCGTTGTTGTTGGAGGGCGACTGCCTCCAACTGCCCAGTAGCATCCTTCACGAGCCTCCTCCACAGAGGCCGATCTTGACACCGCTGGTACCAGTCATCGGCAAGTCCACTCAGCTCCACGTCCTCCTGTACCACATCACTCCATCTCTTCTCTAGCCCGTGCCTCCTGTACCACATCACTCCATCTCTTCTCTAGCCCGTGCCTCCTGTACCACATCACTCCCATCTCTTCTCTAGCCCCGTGCCTCCTGTACCACATCACTCCATCTCTTCTCTAGCCCGTGCCGCGCCCGCTTAGCCCCCTCGATCCGGCCGAACAAAAGCATAAACACCTATAGACACACACACCTAGACACTCACACATACACACCTATACACACTCACATGCACACTGTCACACGCACATATATCTACACACACACCTATACACAATCATACACACCTAGACACACACCTATACACATACACACCTATACACACAATCATACACACCTAGACACACACACACTTATACACATACACACCTATAGACACACATACACACCTATACATACAATCATACACACATACACAATCATACACACCTACACACACCCACCTATACACATACACACCTATAGACACAGATACACACCTATACACACAATCATACACACATATACACAATCATACACACCTATAGACACACACACCTACAGTGAGGGAAAAAAGTATTTGATCCCCTGCTGATTTTGTACGTTTGCCCACTGACAAAGAAATGATCAGTCTATAATTTTAATGGTAGGTTTATTTGAACAGTGAGAGACAGAATAACAACAAGAAAATCCAGAAAAACGCATGTCAAAAATGCTATAAATTGATTTGCATTTTAATGAGGGAAATAAGTATTTGACCCCCTCTCAATCAGAAAGATTTCTGGCTCCCAGGTGTCTTTTATACAGGTAACGAGCTGAGATTAGGAGCACACTCTTAAATGGAGTGCTCCTAATCTCAGCGTGTTACCTGTATAAAAGACACTTGTCCACAGAAGCAATCAATCAGATTCCAAACTCTCCACCATGGCCAAGACCAAAGAGCTCTCCAAGGATGTCAGGGACAAGATTGTAGACCTACACAAGGCTGGAATGGGCTACAAGACCATTGCCAAGCAGCTTGGTGAGAAGGTGACAACAGTTGGTGCGATTATTCGCAAATGGAAGAAACACAAAAGAACTGTCAATCTCCCTCGGCCTTGGGCCCCATGCAAGATCTCACCTCGTGGAGTTGCAATGATCATGATAACGGTGAGGAATCAGCCCAGAACTACACAGGAGGATCTTATCAATGATCTCAGGGCAGCTGCGACCATAGTCACCAAAAAAACAATTGGTAACACTACGCCGTGAAGGACTGAAATCCTGCAACGCCCGCAAGGTCCCCCTGCTCAAGAAAGCACATATACATGCCCGTCTGAAGTTTGCCAATGAACATCTGAATGATTCAGAGGACAACTGGGTGAAAGTGTTGTGTTCAGATGAGACCAAAATGGAGCTCTTTGGCATCAACTCAATCCCCACCGCCAAACATGGAGGTGGAAACATTATGCTTTAGGGGTGTTTTTCTGCTAAGGGGACAGGATAACTTCACCGCATCAAAGGGACGATGGACGGGGCCATGAACCATCAAATCTTGGGTGAGAACCTCCTTCCCTCAGCCAGGGCATTCAAAATGGGTCGTGGATGGGTATTCCAGCATGACAATGACCCAAAACACACGGCCAAGGCAACAAAGGAGTGGCTCAAGAAGAAGCACATTAAGGTCCTGGAGTGACCTAGCCAGTCTCCAGACCTTAATCCCATAGAAAATCTGTGGAGGGAGCTGAAGGTTCGAGTTGCCAAACGTCAGCCTCGAAACCTTAATGACTTGGAGAAGATCTGCAAAGAGGAGTGAGACAAAATCCCTCCTGAGATGTGTGCAAACTTGGTGGCCAACTACAAGAAATGTCTGACCTCTGTGATTGCCAACAAGGGTTTTACCACCAAGTACTAAGTCATGTTTTGCAGAGGGGTCAAATACTTATTTCCCTAATTAAAATGCAAGTCAATTTATAACATTTTTGACATGCGTTTTTCTGGATTTTGTTGTTGTTGTTATTCTGTCTCTCACTGTTCAAATAAACCTACCATTAACATTAGAGACTGATCATTTCTTTGTCAGTGGGCAAATGTACAAAATCAGCAGGGGATCAAATCATTTTTTCGGTCACTGTATAGACACAGACACCTAGACACTCACACATCTACACACACAATCATACACGCCTATACATGTGATCATACAAAAGACAAATATTTTTCATATAGCCTTAACAGACTGTAGGGGCAAGTGCTGTTAGCGAGCACCTATGAAGGCCGGAACGGCACACGAGGGGGTGGGTGGCCAACACCACGCCCGGCCGCCTTTGTCTCCCTAGTGGCGATATTTACACACCGCACCAGGTACTCATTTGAGGCTGAGTCGACCTAGGGGAGGCCCAGGACCGGTTCAGATCATCGTCACTGGGTGTTGGCCGTGAGCGGGAATCGAACCCGGGTCGCCAGGTTCATAGCGCAGCGCGCTATCCGCTACACTACCGCTCCCCACACACATACACACATATAGACACACACACTGACACACCTATACACACATTCATACACACCTATAGACATACAAGACCCCCCGTATAGCCTTAACAGACTGTTAGGGCAAGTGCTGTTAGCACTTCCCAATGAAGGCCAGCACAGCACACGAGGGGGTGGGTGACCAGCACCACGTCCGGCCGCCTTTGTCTCCCCAGTGACGATGTTTACACACCGCACCAGGCACTCATTTGAGGCTGAGTCGACCTAGGGGAGGCCCAGGACCGGGCCATAGACATACACACACGCACATACATACACAAAGGCATACACACCTATAGACATACACACTTACACACATACACCCCTATACAAAGACTGACACATACATACCTATGCACATGCAGTAGACAAAAAGATAAGGACGTATACACACGTAGACATACATACACACTCACACAGCTACACACGTAGACACACATACACATTCACACACCTATACACGTAGACACACATACACACTCACACACCTATACACGTAGACATACACACTCGTCCACACACTTTAATGTATTTCCAGTATGCATGAAAATATGCAGCACATGCACGTGTTGTTCAATTTTGTAACAGAATGTGTACGTTTGAACCACTGAACCAAGGCTGCTGTGTGTTTGTGTGCCCCATGTGCTATGTATTCTACACACACGTGTTGTGACTGACACACACACACTGTCCTCCTCCTGCGTGCAACATGAATGTTGCAAGCGCCATGTGACTGCAAACCCCTGCAGCCACACGGCACAAGGTGGTCATTCGTCCCCTACTCTTTGTTCTTTTCGGTAAAAGTCACGTAGGTATAAAATAAAAAAATGAATTACGTTTCGGGTGCAACGCAAGCGTCCGTCAGCATGTGCGGGGTACAACCACATCAGGAAGCAATAGCTGAAGCGGGCAAATTGCTGAAGTATTATGGCAAATTGTTTCTTAATTCTAGATTTAAAGCTTTCGTGACTGCTAGGATCCATACTCTTTGGTTCTATTGGGTAAAGTCACGTAGGTGAAAATAAAATAACAATAAAATTCTCACGACGTTTCGGCCACAACACAAGCGGGCCTTCTTCAGGTGAAGGGACGAGACTGTCTGGAGGACAGCGCTGGAGCGAGAGAAGCCACGCTTAGATCGCGACCTTTAAGCTTATGTACATAGATGCCGCGATCACAAGCTTAAAGGTCGTGATCTAAGCGTGACTTCTCTCACTCCAGCGCTGTCCTCCAGACAGTCTCGTCCCTTCACCTGATGAAGGCCGCTTGTGTTGTGGCCGAAACGTCGTGGCAAATTGTTTCTCACTTCTTTATTACCGCTGCTCCGGCCACAGCGGTGACCAGATCACACGGAATGTCACCCACCACCACCACCCACCACCAAGGCCACGATCTCGACATATCTCAGAAGCTAAGCGGGGTTTTTGAGCCTGGATTTGTAAGTGCTTCAGATGGGCAATCAGGAATATTTTGATGTTTTTTTTTTCTCCTGTATTTTCTGTTTGTACAGTCACACATAATAACTTTAAGATGTTTTTCTTGTTCGTGTTTTTTTTTGTTTGTTGCGGTTGCACCCGATTCAAGAGCCGAATGGCTCACAGGGCTATATACCAAATAAATGAAACTATGAAA